CCAGGCGCGGCGGCTGGGGCCTGGCCCGAGAGGTGCCCACATCACGCCTGACAAAGGGAAAAAGAAAAACCGCCGCAAGTTGGACCCAGCCCCAGGGTTTTTCAAAACATAGCTGCAAAAACGTGTGTGCTTTCAAGGGCTAACGCTTTCCTTAATTCGAAATATCATTAATCTTGGCTAAGCAAAGAGGCAGTGACTTAGACATCTCCGCCTGGGGTCTTCCATCCCCTTAGGAGGCGCAGTTGCCTAGCAACCGGACGCTCTGTCTGCTCTGAGAGCCCGGAAAGGGAGTTATCTTCGGTTCTGTGGCCGTCCAGCTTCTTCCCTTCGCTCTTTTCTACCCCTCCCGCTTACCCTCTAGAAGCACAAACATATGAACAGTTTCTGCAATGCCATCCTGCCCATCAGGGCGCAGAGTCTTACATCTGAAAACTTTCCAGTCTGTTTGGCGAGGTCCATCTCACCAAAACGTATCGAATTGCAAGGGGTTTGCTTGCATTTTACAGAGGATCAACTGAGATAGGCTCAGAGAACAGAAATTATTTTCCTAAAATTGCGTGGATAGTTAGAGAACTGGGACTACAATCTCGTTGACTACAGGCTGTGAATATATTTGTTAATTCGATTATCACAGAGATTCAGTGACATTTTTACCAAACCTGATAGGGCATGCAAAAAAATAAAATAAAATAAAAGGAGCTTTGCAAAACACCGTTTCCAGGCACGTGCTGTTTGTCAAATGTTTAATTGTGCAGAGTGATTTCTCTAGGTACAATGCTGACTTTCCTGGAGATTTACACAGATGACAAATATCCTTAATGGCAATAGTTAAGAAAAGAGAAGTGTGAGTGGGCTAAATCAAGGTAGACTTCATCACGGAAGACTCGGGGATCTTGTTTTCTTGCCTCCTTTCACAGTGGGAAAAGTAGAAGAAAAATTAACCAAGACTGCAGAACTTGATCATACCTAAATCTACTTTTAAGATGAGAAACAAATTGACAACAGTTCTTTTTGAGTTGGAGTCTCACTCTGTTGCCCAGACTGAAGTGCAGTGGCCGCTCAAGGCCACCGCAGCCTCGACCTGCTGGACTCCGGTGATCCTTCTGCCTCAGCCTTCCAAGTAGCTGGAACTACAGGCGCGCTACCACGCCCAGCTAATTTTTTTATTTATTGCAGAGATGAGGTCTCGCCAAGTTCCCTGGCGAATCTCGAACCCGTGGGCTCAGGCAATTCACTCATCTCAGCCTACCAAAGCACTGGGATTACAGGCTGAGCCACCGAGCCCGGCCACCTACAGTTCTTACAAGGATAATTCACTCTTGAAATTTTCTCAGACCACTAGGGTACATAACACAGGCATATTTAATTTACATACTTATATTTTTCATAGATATTTAACTTACTTTTCTAAGTTAAGAAATCGATTGCTTCTTCTTTACTAAGCAGTCTTTCTTGGATTGTATCTTGGAAGCGAATGATTATCAGGATTATGTAAGTCATGTTTATTACAATTAGTTCATTTGTGTGTTTCCCTGGAACTGCCTCTAGAAATGCAATCTCTCGAAAGGGATGGATAGAGCAGCTTGGTTCTGGAGGATCAGATTCTTAAGAATGCATGTGCTGACAGATTGTCAAGTGGACTCAATATTTCACATTCCTTTTGTTTTCTGACACAGTGCAAGCAGATTCCTATGTAAGCGATTCTCAACCCTGCCTCCATATTAGACAGCTATTTAAAAAATAACTAAGCAGCCCAGGCGCAGTGGCTCATGCCTGTAATCCCAGTACTTTGGGAGGCCAAGGCAGAAGGATCACTTGAGGCCAGGATTTCAAGGTTACAGTAAGCTATAATCATCTCCACTGTGTTCCAAAGGTAGTCCCTATCAAAAAAAAGAAAAGGAAGGAAGGAAGAAGGAGAAAGAGAAAGAAAGAAAGAAAGAAAGAAAGAAAGAAAGAAAGAAAGAAAGAAAGAAGGAAGGAAGGAAGGAAGGAAAAGAAAGAAAGAAAGAAAGAAAGAAAGAAAGAAAGAAAGAAAGAAAGAAAGAAAGAAAGAAAGAAAGAAAGAAAGAAAGAAAGAAACAGGTCTGTATGTGATGGCTCACACCTGTAATTTTAGCACTTTGGGAGGATGAGGCGGGAAGATTGCTTGAGCCCAGGAGTTCAAGACCGGCTTAAGCAACATAAGGAGGTTTTGAGACCTCCTTCATCTCAAAAATCAAAAAAATAGCCGGACGTGGTGGCGCATGCCTGTGGTCCTAGCTACTCAGGAGGCTGAGGCAGGAGGAACTCCTGAGCCCAGGAGGTCGAGGCTGTGTGGTAAGTGTTGGTCATGCCACTTCACTACAGCCTGAGCAACAGAGTGAAATTCTGACTTTTTTTTTAAAAAAGCAACAAAAATAAACAAACAATAAAGTTAACTTTTTAATTTTAGAATTGCTTCAGATTTATAGAAAAATTGCAAAGATGGAGAGTGTTTCCTTCTACTCCTCACCCAGTTTTTTCAGTTGTTGACATCTTGCCTGACCATGGAACATTTGTTACAAGAAACCAACACTGGCACATTGCTGTTAGCTAAACTCTGCAGCTTATTTGGATTTCAGTAGTTTTCCCCTGATGTCATTTTTCTATTCCAGGAAGCCCATGTAGGTACCTCATAGCATTTGGTTATCATGCCTCCTTCAACTCCTCTGACCTGTCCTGGTTTATGATGACCTTGACAGTTTTGAAGAGTGCCAGTCAAAAAAAAAAAAAAGAGTTCTGGACAGGTATTTTATAGAATATCTGGGAAGTTCTTAAAATACAGATGTCCAAATTCCATCCCTAGAAATGCTGACTTAAATGGTTTGAGATAGGGTTAGGAAGTTCATATTTTTAAAAGTACCTCAGAGCCATTGCCTTGCTAGACTCTGGTGTGGCCATGTGCTTTTTGAGCTATGGTTGTTCCATGCTTCCTGGCTTTGGCCCCCTCCCCCACCTCGGGTAGGTGAATCTTCTCCCTCCCTTCTCTTTCTTGCTCTAATTTATTTTAAAATAAATTATATATTTTAATTTTTAAAAAGTATCTCAGATGATTCTATGGGCAGCCAGGGCTAACCAGTCATTATGTTGAGTTCTAAATAGTATGATATACGAGTACTAACAATTAAGTTTGCGAACTCATCCTAGAAAAAGTGCTCCATACTTCATTGCTGGATTATCACTTCAGTCACCTTTGAAGTACTCCCCTTGGGAAGCTATGCACTGACCCCATTGCCTAGTCCATTCATCAAAGCAATTTTGGAACTCTTTTTCTGGAATGGCCATCAAAGCTGTTGTTGTATTACTCTTGGTGTCCTGAATGCCATCAAAATGTCTTCCTTTCAATATGTCCTTTATCTTCAGGTAAAGAAAAAAGTCACTGGGGGCTAGATCAGATGAGTAGGGAGGGTGTTCCAATACAGTTACTTGTTTACTGGCTAAAAACTCCCTCACAGACTGTGCTGTGTGAGCTGGTGCATTGTTGTGATGCAAGAGCTCGTTTGGGACCATTTTTGCACACACCTTTCTCATGCCAAGATTTTCAGTTAAGATTTTCCTAACTGTTTCTCTACCAATGTTTATTTTGTCTGTTCTGTTTCTCACAGTCAGCTGATGATTTTGATACACAATTTGATGAATTTTTGCAATGTTTTCATCAGTTCTGCTCATTATTGGCCATCCTGGCCATCATCAGTGGTACTCTCTCTCTCCTCAGAAAAACATTTAATTATTTGTATGCTGACATTTTCTTCATGGAATTATCCCCATACACTTAGACTAACATGTCCCTGGTTTCACTTCCACTCTTGCCAAGTTTAACAAGAAATTTAATGTTTGTTTGTTGCTTTAATTCAAACTCTGACATTCTTGTAATGGTACACAAAAACATGCAACAACAATAATGAATGTCACTCAGCAAGACAGCCCCACATGTTGACACAAACACAACTGTGAGATACTGATATACTAAGATCATGAAACCTTACTAAGTTGTTTGTACAATGCTGACAACGTAAGTGCACAGTGGTGAGTTCATGAACTTCATTGTCAGGCCAAGTATATTGAGATTATTACCAACTTTCTAGAGAGAAACAATATTTTTATAAGGGGGGAAATAAACATGAAAATCAATACAGGACAAAAAAGGACATTAAAATATTTTAGTAGCATCTAATTTATGTTAGCTTCTTTCAGAAGACTTTTCTTTCTTTAACAAAAATCAAGTGAATGAGAAAAATTGTGGGATGTTTAGCAAATTGCAGGATGTTAAACATGTCTGACTGTAGCATAAAATGTGTCTTTAAAAGAATACAAAATTTACTTAAACATTTTTATAACGTAAATATGTTTATGGTTAATTGATTTTATGAATTTATAGATAGACTTTGTTATAACATCTAACCAATAAAGCAGACACTATTATTTTATTTTATTTATTTTTGTTTTTATATTTTTGAGTTGAGGTTTCACTCTATCACCCAGGTTGGAGTGCAGTGGCACACTCACAGCTACCGCGGCCTTAACCTGCTGGGCTCAGCCTATTCTCCTGACTGGCTGGATCTACAGGCATGCCTCTCCTTTTTTCATTTTTCAATTTATTTTTATTTTCATTTATTTATTTATTTATTTATTTTGTAGAAACGAGATCACACCAAGTTGCCCAGACTGGTCTTGAACTTCTGTGCTCAGGCAATCTTCTCGCCTCAGCCTCCCAAAGTGCTGGGATTACAGGCTAC